AACAGGCAAGGAAACCGAATCTCCCTCTGCAATAGACATCCCCCAGCCTAAGCGTCAAACACCAAAGAAAAACGGAGATGTTATTCACTACCACGGAACATCAGTGAAAGATGCAAGAGAGTCTTTCAGGGATATTTCTTCTGGAAATCCACGGTGAGGATTTTTTCGAAACTCCCATATTTCGGAACAGATTAATTAATGATGAATAGACAACAGCTATTTGGATTCCCACCCAAGCCATTGTCGGATATGACAGTAAAGTTAGTTTGACATTTCCACCATAGGTTTGTACAGCGAAGGTCTGATTTTGGTCCACATTGCAAATATCATACTAAGTGAACTGTCACTTATGGAATCGACCCAACCTTTTCTGCTGGAAGTGTCATAGCGGTACCCCGCAGCCGATGGAAGGACGCCGTCCAGCCTCCAACAGATCGACCTCCAATTGGAAGACGCCCTGACACTCACTTAAGACCGCCCACGATGGGGCAGTCAGAGGATCATCTTGGCTCAACGCTGCTATGGTATGGGATTTTCTTGTAGCAGTATTTGGAATGCCTTGGTTTTCTGTATCATTTATATTGGTCCTTACCATCGGTGGAATTTCAAACTGAAAGGCTATACATGAGTGTAATACAGAACGACCCATTTGATTATTTCATTACCATGGCAAAAACCTTTTCAGCAGATAAACACATTTGTTGCAATACAAAATGTCTGATCTTGATAAATTATCAACAACTGTTTTTTACACTTTCTGATTGCGAGCATTTTTTTCAATAAGCGGTCATTTACTGCTTGCGCCATATATTACAGCATGTACAGAATAGCTCAAGCTTGTCTGAATCCCGAAGAGGTCCCCGTTAGTGCTATTCTTAGTAAAAAATCACCAAAAAAGAAAAAAACGACTTCTTCCACAAAATGGTGTATGGGACAGTCTACTTCTGCTTTCCCGTCTCCCCTTACGGGCTGACTATTCTCTTTATTCGGGATTATATTAATTTCCATTTATATTGGGGGAAGTTCCTCACCTCTCCATACTCAACTTAACACTATTGACGACTGAAAGGAAAGTTATTTGCATGTATATGAAGGCATGTTTGTGTTCGAAGCAAATTCTTGTGTTTGATCATCATAAGTCATATGAGACATGTCCCGGAAAAATTAAGTGCCTACATACTTATCATGTAACAAGGCACTTCATTTAATAACCATCGACACGCCCAAAGCACGTATGCTATGGTAATGAACTGTGTCACACTGATGAATATAGTTTTGAGTGTCATTGTAATATAATTACAATATGGCCCCAAAATTGAAATGAAATGGTAAACTCATTTTGCCTCTGTTTTTTTAAATTAAAACGTTGAAAAAGGCAAGTGATACACAACATTAGTCAAAATTGTTTAAGTCAAATATTTTTGCAATTTATTATTATACTGTTGAGGGCTAATTCGCTTTTCCCTCTCACCAGGAAAACAATGATGGAGGGCCCAGACGCTTCCAAATTGAGTACAGTCGTGTATGTCCTTCCATATCCAAAAGCATCCTTCTACAAGGTAGGTGACACAAACATTTCGTTTTTATCTCGTCAGCCAGTGAGAACAAGAGAAAATTGTTATGTCAGGATTTGTTTCGTCAAGACCGTCAGTGAACGGGCAAGAATTCACTGGAATGGTTTCCATGTATAAATAAAAAGGAATTAAGTCACAAAAATGTTGAAGCCTACAATGAAATTGGGCAGTATTGCAGTAGATGCGTGCTGTAACGGAACAAGAGCGGAGCAAAGAAGTTGTAAATTATTTTAAGGTTATAAATCACACAAAACTGCTTTTGAGCAAAAGTCATGATAAACTATCAGTGTTTGTGTACACGTCCATGTACATGGGTACATGTGCATGCATGGTTAGTGAGCACAATGAAGTTCGTAAGTACCCATGCAAAATCAGGTTTTATAATGTGGACCAGAAGCGTTGGGATAGAACCCTCAAGGTGCCCATGGACCAATGTGAAGTTAAAGGAGGGCATGTATGTAATTTAGTTCTGTTCGGATGAATTGTTCTTTATTTTCGTGCCAGTCGCCAAAAGTGGATTGTAAGTTGTATTTACTATGATTGTTGATTAATTCATAATAGAAACCAGAAAAGAAGGGTCTTGCGAGCCCATCTAAGAACAAAAGACCGATGGCATCCAGAAGCAAAAGAGCAATGCCAAAAGAAGAGAACGTTTGCTGCGATTGCGGTGCATTGTATCCAGATAACTTTGGTTTTTTGGATCACTTCCACAAGAGGCACCGTTTCCGGGGGAGACCATGCACTCAGCACGACACAAGCAGTCAGGTGTGTTCGTCTACAAAAGAAGTAACGTTTAACCTAACCATTCATTCACATTTGTAATGTTACTGCCAAGTTTGCACAGTATCGTGATCCCGAGAAACGTTTTCTGAACTTTTTGCAGAACTGATATTTTAAAGTATCCACGACGCTTAATCGGTGTATTATTACGCGGAGCAGTTCCATTGCAGGGGTCTAGAACATTCGCACGAGAGCTCGCATTGTAACTTTCGCAACTCTTACATTTTCAGCTGTTCATGGGGGCGGAAAAAGTTCGGCTTCCAGTGCGTATACATATACGCTCTCTTGCAGGTTTTCTACGACTGCTGAAATCAAGTAGGATGAGACCGCTTGGACGCTGAATCAATCGGAGCGCTATGTGTGCCAGGGGGTCCCCTACATATTCCTTTTTTCGAAAAACGCACTTCTTGTGATTCTATAACGGTCCAAATCGTTTGAAAAAGGACATCACCCCAGAAACAGATTTTCCATTTTTGCTCCTAATCGGGTGCGTTGACTCCTGAAATCAATTGGGCTGAGACAGCCTGTGGGCTGAATCATTCGGGGCGCTGGTGTGCACTAGGGCCCCCTCTACTCATTCCTTTGCAGAAAAGCGCACTTCTTCCAAACTCCGTAACGTGATGCTGATTATTACAGTGTATGAATAACAGATAGTAATTGGCACAAATCACCTGAGTAGCTGAAAGCACCTTTAAAACAAAACAACGACAACAACATTGGGAAGTATGGGTGATCTTTGCATTTGTGAATGCTCATAATACCCCTTCTCATAAGCGTCCCTCGTACTAAATAAAACATTAGAATTTTTACCAAATTTTTCAAACATTCAGAAAACCCCCCTCCGCGTCGCAGTAGGCCTAACTGAGTAAATAGGATTGTGTCGGTGTTTTCCCGTGATGCGTTGTGCTGAAAGGCCTCTCCTTTGCAATTTTTCGGTGGCGCTCTTCATTGTGAATCGCCTTCAATTCAATACCATTTTCATACATGCTGACTTCATCCATTGAAAATGTCTCCAGATAAATGGGGTATTTAGTGTATTGTTATGTTATTTTTTCTCATACATTTTGTCCCTTTTTTGTTATTCATGAAGGAGATGGCAACCAGCCACCGAGATGCCTATTTTGGTGGAGGCACGAAGAGGACAGCAGCAGAGCAAAAGGCGGACAGGTTGGCGGGTGTAATTGGCCAGTCCATTGGATCCAAGCAACTTAACGAAAAGGCACTGCCAAGTAACTGTCTCCGCTTGTTACAAGAGAAGATTCGGTGGGTTAGAAGAGATCGAAATGGATTGAAGACATTGTCTACCCTGTGGGCTCAGAATAGACATGGTATAAGAGATAAAGTCCATCGAATTCTGGCAAGGCAGGAAACTTTAAAGAAGAATAATGTTAAGAAAGTTGAACGTGAAAACAAAAGTCGATCCCATTTGCGTAAGCGAAAACAAAAAATACAACCACAAATGGGCAAGAAAAAAACAATGAAGAGCCAAATCCAAGTGAAAGTCCCAAATGCAAAAACGCAAAGAAATTGGAGAATAGTACCAAACCAAACAATGACAAAAACGGTACGAGATGCCAAGCCACACAGACAAAATCGCAAGAAAAATATGATTCAGAGACGGAAAAAAATGATGATTCACAGCCTCAATTGTACTGTATATGTAACCAGCCATACGATGCCAACCGGAGCATGGTTGCTTGCGACAAATGTTCCGGCTGGTGTCATTACTCGTGTATAAATCTTGAGCCAGAACGGAAAGATGAATCTTTCATGGATAATGTGTTTTCATGGAATTAATGGCTGTAATGCAGGAAAATTTGTATTTCAATCAGCTTCAAACAGTGCAAGTGACGATAATAAATAGGGAATAAATTCCGCAGGACATCAAATTCAATTTCACGTGAGCGCGGAAAAAATAAATGATGATGAAAAGCCGCGCATAAATGTACGATTACGGAATAAAAGCGGACAGGAAAGAGTGTACGCAAATGAACTGGGAAGTAGTATCGATGAACTTTCAAACACTGAACCTTCTGACAGTGAAAGTGGTGAGATTCAATATAAAAGCACTTCCATGCGACATAAAAACGAATTTGACGCAAGTAAATTAAGTTCTCAAAAAACAAATGATGATGATCAAACACCAGGCATAAGAAAACAGGTCCATGTTAAAAAAACAAAAGAAAAAGTTTATAAAAAACGCAAGTGAAAGTAGTACCGATGACAGCGAGCATAACAACAAACGTAACATTCAAATTTCAAAGCTAAGGAGGAAAAAAGACCTATTGCCCTCCAAATCAGGGCCAACAGAAAAGGTTGCGAATAAAGAACTGGGTGCTGATAACCTTCAACCAAAGCGGACCAGTACCTTTATGAATTCATTCAAGTCAGCAATTGGAAAAAATGAATGTCAAGAATTACCAGGAGAAGAATTACCTGAAATAGTCAAGCACAGAGTTGGGCAAGTGAGAACAACAGTCATTATTCATACTCCAATTCTGCAAGTTCTGATTTTATAAAAAAAATAGAGATTTTTCAAATGAAGTTCTCTTAGATAGTAGTAATGAAACATTAGAGGACTTAATCCCGGAAGAGGTTTTGTCAGAAATGTGTAGTAAACATAAATCTAACCAATCGAACAGTATTAAGAAAATCAGACCTGTAATCCCACCACCCACCCGAAAAACGTCGCTTTCTCATAAAAAATACTACATGGACTAAATTAAGAAAAAAGCAACAAGGAAACAGTCTGCCATCAGAGTGGGCCGAAGTATTTGCCAAACCATTTCAGAAATTATATCCTTATTGCTGTTTACAATTCAAACGACACTACGTGAGTTTAAAAAGCCCCAAACGAAAAACAATATTCAAATTACTGCAAATGGTTATTGCAATTTTACAGACTGCAATATTAAGTTCAAGATAAAAATGACTTCCGAAGAAGATTTGAAAGTGAAAGCTTCATTTCAGGGTGATCAGAAGCATGCAAAAAGCGAGACACGTGCCCGTTATATAAAGGGAAACCAGAGGGAGCAACTAAAAAGCAAATTGAAATACAAACCACCTAGGAGAGAATATTTAGATCAGTTAAAAACTTTAAGTAATAGTGTCACAGTGTGCTCACTTTACGGACACTGCAACAGAAGGACTGGATGCAGGCCAGAAAAATGATTGTAACAAAACCCAATCTGTACTATTTACAATATTTGGTATGAATTTATTTACAAAATTTCTCGATTCTATAATACAAAATATACACCATTCTGTATTTACAGCCAGATGTCTCTCAAGTGAGTGTAGCTACAACTCAGTATTAAATTTCATTAATCAAATGAATGCCTTTGCAATTCAAGTATGTACAGTTAAGTATAGGTATGAGTGAATTAAAATTTTGAGTTCACTGTCAATTCACAAACTAGTGCATCAAAGAGATACACTTGATAGTTTACAATTTCTGTAATATAATGCTGTAAATTTTTAGCTCTGAAAACTACCTCAAAATAAAAGAATTAGCAATCAAAGTTCCTCCCAGGAAAATAAGTATTCGCAAGAAAACTTCTAAACAAATGTCAGCATCATCAAAGTAAACGAATTATCAATTGAAGTTCCTCCGAGGAAAATAAGTATTT